CCCCCCCCCCTCCACTTCAGTACCCTACTGTCTGGGACAGAGGTGCCATTGTAACACCACAGGCTGTTCACAGCTGTTCACAGGCTGCCCCCACCCCCCCACGCACTGTTCTGGCCTGCAGCAGCAGCACCGCCTGAGACAGGGCAGTGTATTATAACACTCAGGCAGAATGAGGAGGACAGGGGCTCCCCACATACCCAAGGGAGGAAGGGGGGACGGAGGCAGCCTCACAGCTCTGCTCGTCATCACCACCAACACATACAAAGCATAATGCTGGGTTTGGGCACTACAGGGTCACAGACAGTCATACAGGATGGTTTTGGCCAAAATGAGCACAGCCTCCCACCCCTCCCCGTCAGGTACAGCATTGGGGTTGGCCTCCAGGTACGCGCCATTTGACTCCACCTGTTTTGGCCCACTTAATCTATAAATACACCATGGCTGGCAGGGAATCGAGCCTGGGTGCTAGTAATGCAGTGAACGAGGAAGTAAGGAATCAGAGAAGCAAGGGATGAGGAGTGAGGGAGGGAGTGAGGGATCAGAAGCAAGGGATGAGGAATGAAGGATGGAGTGAACAAGGGAGTGAGGAATCAGAAAAGCAAGGGATGAGGAGTGAAGGATGGAATGAATGAGGGAGTGAGGGATCAGAGAAGCAAGGGATGAGGAGTGAGGAATGTAATGAACGAGGGAGCAAGGAATGGAGTGAACAAGGGATGGAGGGAATGAAGGATCAGAGAAATGAGGGATGGAGTAAAATAGGGAGGCTGCTGCAGCTTGCCAATATGCACTGATAGGAACATGCACACAGCCCCTGTGGGTCTCTTACTAAACCCTCCCCTCGGGGTGGACCATGAGCAGGGCCTCTTAGGAAGATGGCCTGTTGGTGTTGGCAGGAGGTGACAGCGAGGAGGCTGAGCGCTCCCCGGCTGGGGGAGGTGGGGAAGAGACGCCCCCTGTCAATCCCACAACACCGACCGCTGCCCAGATCAACGGGAACTCCACCTCCAACACGCCCACCAAGACGCCCGTCAAGTTGCCGGCCCCGAACCGCATGCCAAGGCGGACCCAGGTAAGGTTACCGTAGCCTGTGGGAGCCCCCTAAAGGCCCATGAAGCTGGTACCCCTGGGCACGACTTCCGGATGGATCCCTGTCCAGCTGGGGGAGTGTGGGGGGGTCGGAGAGCCGCTAACGAGCAGCAGCATATGGCCATCTCAATCCCCCTTTGTGTGCACTGATGCCCCCCAATTCAAGTGTGAGATTTTTTGTCGTACGGTGCAAACAGGTGTCCTCTCCTTACCCCCTCCTGGGTCATGTGACCCCCACCCCTCCCCCAGTGACACTGATAAGTGTATTTCCATACATAGATGGCTCTGGCAGTGGCAGGGAGAGCCTTCCTGTGTAATTTGGTCACCCCTCTCACCATGAGGCCCGTTTTAGCATGCCTGGTTCTAAACTGGGGGGGGAGCATCACATGCCCTCCTCCAGCCCCAGAACCTGCCGGTTTCCAGGCCCATTTCTCAAGGGAGGACAGGGCAGGGCTCAGCCGGGTCATTAAACAGACATGTTAATACGAGCCGCGTTGTCCCTGATCTGTAATGCGGCGCCGGGGAGCCCTTATGGTGCCCTCAGGGCCTGAGTCGCTAGATTATTACCCCTGCGAGAGCCTGGGGGCTCTTTGTGGTGTTTAGAGCACACTAGAAGAAGGGGGAGTAGGCCAATTCCCAAGAAAACAATGAGGTGGCTACCCACAGCCCATAGGAGTGAGGGTTAGTCACAGAGCAGACGGCTGTGACTGTGTGTGTGTGGGTTATGTTTATATTATATTGTGGGGACCATTTTTCTGTGAATGCAATCAAAAAACGAAAAATGACTAAAGTCTTGTATTTTGTTTTGTTTCTTATGATTAGGGTCAGGGCTGGGTAGGGGTTAAGGTCGTCATGCTGGGATTAGAGTTTTCCCCATAGAAATGATTGGAGAGTCTCCATAAAGATATAATTACAAACCTGTGTGTGTGTGTGTGTGTGTGTGTGTGTGTGTGTGCGTGCGCCTCGGCAGCATGGGGGCTTGTCAGAGTCCATCATACTAGGATCAGAGGCCTATAGGGTCAGAGGTCTATAAGGACTGTGCTTTATAGGGTCAGAGGGTTGATAGAAATATTGTTTATAAGGGTCAGAGGACTATAGGGACTGTGGTCTATAGGGTCAGATTGTGGTCTGTACAAAATTTAAGGCACTGATACTTTAATTATACAGTGTCCCTAAACAAACCTCCGGAGTAAAGGTGATTGAGTGTAATTTGATGAAATTGAATGAGGTGGAGCGTTCAGGATTGAAGATACATGCATCCCTATACCGGCTTGGTAGGGGGCGGTATAGGAGCAGATCCAGCTGGCACATGAGGGTTCTTTAACCGCTTGCCTTTGAATACCTGAGACCTGGGATCATTTTACCTCATGGCGCTCACTGTGTTGCAGGATGCCAGGGATGAGATCTCATCCTTCATCTGCCCCTTATGCGACAAGAACTGTGTCACGCAGCACCAGCTGACCATGCACATCCGACAGGTAGGTGGCCAGGACCCAGCAAGGCTCTCGCCAAGCCAGGGGGGCTCACCGTGTGCCTGGATACCTGCCTGACATGAACACACGCGCGGGCCTCTGTCATATACATACACACACACATATACACATGCGCTCACTGTCGCCCCCTTCAGTCGTGTGTAACTGCTTCATTCCATACTTTAGGGTACCGGGTGGGGGGAGTTGGGGGCTGGCTGATGGTTTACACTGAGACCCTCACTCTGAACCCGTAGCAGTGTACAGATAACAGTTCACGAACCTGCCGCATGCAGGACAGGTAACACTGGCAGTCCTCTCTGTGACTGTGCCGTTAGCCAGCTGATAATGAGCAGTTATCATCCGTTTTGACTCGATTACACTCAGTGGCCAGTTTATTTAGTACACAGATCTGCCCAAACACAGAATCACGTGGCTGCTTCTGAACACATGCAGAATCACACAGGCACAGTCACTGCTCAGCTGAGCATTCGAATGGCGGAGACGCCTGATCTGTGATATTTTGAACATGGTGTGATTGTTGGTGTGAAACCTGGTGCTTCCACCATCTCAGCTACTTTCCTCTGACTTTCACACGCTACCGTATCTTGAAGTTACAGAGAATTCTGAGTTGAACACAAACCATCCAGTCCCGGGAAATTCTGTGGCTGAAAACACCTTGCTTATTACAGAGGTCAGAGGTGAATGATTCATTCAAGCTGGGAAGTACACATGCGCAGCAAGAGCAGCTTAGTATAATAGTGAGGTATAGAAAGGCAACTCATCAACCCTTAAGGTGGTTCTAGGGATTGAAGGGTGCCTGATCTGGTACTGTGTAGGGGTACGTAATTAAATGGCCACTGAGTGAATGTTAGTGACCCACACACATACACACAGCAAGATGTCTCCATGTGTCTATAAACCTTCACACTTCTCCGCCACCCCCCCAGCACAATTCGGACAGCGGGGCCACGGACCACTCGTGCAGCATCTGCGGAAAGTCGCTGAGTTCGGCCAGCTCCCTGGACCGGCACATGCTGGTACACAGCGGCGAGAGGCCCTACAAGTGCTCCGTGTGCGGACAGACCTTCACCACCAATGGCAACATGCACAGGTACTTGGCGGGCCGCCGAGCATGAGGAGCGTATATCTGAATCAAGATGGATTAATTAGCCTGTTCGTTAACCACAAAGAGGACGTGAATAAAAGAATTACCAACCTCTGCCGTCAGAGGATCATTTCCTGGCCACAACAGGAAGTGATGCACTTTGATGCTATAGGTTGTTAGCGCCTCGAAATAGAGGATGAGCAGCGTGTTTGTGTTTATGTGCATCTGTTATTTTTTTTTATCTTTGTATTTTGACACCAGGGTGCTATCTTTAAACGTGAACGCCCACTGTTTCCATGCCGACCACCCCCGTTCACCCGGAGATGACGGTGGCGGGGCATTGTGGGAGCGTCGTGATGCCCCCGCGATCGAGCCCCAACACGTCCATGGCGCTCGCAGGAAGCTGCTACTTGTTAATTAGCCGCGCTTTGCATGTTTCTTAAGTCTCCATCAAAAGCTGATTTCTCCACTCGGGCCTGGACGTCATGTTCAGACCCGCCGCGGGAAGGGGGAGCGCTCTGGCGGAGTGTACGGCTCCCGTGCCTCGCTCTGTTTTTCGGGCTCGTGTTCGCCTCGGGCGGTGCTGTCACACCGTGATGAATTGGCCGTCAGGAATGCACCTGTGGGAGGAGACTGGGCGTGATGGGACTGGTTCTGCACCAGCCCGGACGCCGTAACGGTATCATGACTTGGCAGCGGTGTGCTGTGCGAACAGCCCTTATTGGTTGAGATTGTATTTTTTTTATTATTGTTTTCTTGCCCAATCTGTTTATGGGTGATGCGATTCCAGTAAAAGGAGATAGAGAAACGCCTTCACCTCCATGGAAAGATGCTTCAGATGACATCAAGAAGCAATTTTATTATATGATTAGTTTTATCCATTGGCAGCCAACAGGGCAGCGTATAGGTTAAGGTTTATGGTTGTTGATTTGAGAGCAGTGGTGGGCCCTGCTTTGCACCCTTACTGGCAAAATGGAGCCGCTAAGCTCCACCATGGCACTGGGGAAGTGATTTGCATTGGGGGGGGGGACGTGTTCGTGCCAGGATGTGGGTGGGGCAGGTTGATAGTCGAGGAGGCAGGAAGCCCATGGAAGTCGTTTGTTTATCCCCACGACATGGTGCGCAGAGCCACCGCCGTTGCCACGCGGTAACCAAGGAGAGGAGATGGGAGTTTGGCCGAGGGCAGGGGACAGGGGGCGACAGGCCGCAGTTGGCATCCGTCACGGAGCCGCTGCCGAGCCAGATCGCCTGGGGAGGCAGGTGGAGGGTGCTCGGGAGAGATAAATGCAGGGTGGGGTCATGTGGGCTGGAGGATGGGTGGGAA